ATGGAATATTGGTCGATCCGGCCAAAGTGGAGGCGGTGATGAGTTGGGAGGTGCCGAGGTCACCCTCCGAGATCAGGAGTTTTCTAGGGTTGGCCGATTATTATCGGAGATTTATCAGGGATTTTTCTAAGATCGCAGTGCCACTTACTAGGTTGACCGGAAGGGTGTTGCTTTTTCATGGGGCCCCGAGCAGCAGGCCTCCTTTGAGACGCTTCGCCAAAGGTTATGCGAGGCCCCGGTGTTAGCCCTCCCGGAGGGAATGGAGGATTTGTCGTATACTGCGATGCATCGATTTTGGGATTGGGAGCGGTATTGATGCAGAGAGGGCATGTGATAGCGTATGCGTCGAGACAGTTGAAGCCTCATGAGTCGAGGTATCCCACCCATGACCTAGAGTTGGGGCAGTGGTGTTTGCCCTCAAGATTTGGCGCCATTATTTGTATGGGGTTCGGTGTACGATTTACACGGACCATAAGAGTCTGAAGTATTTGATGGATCAGCCCAACCTGAATATGCGACAGAGGAGGTGGTTGGATGTGGTTAAGGATTATGATTGCGAGATCTTGTATCATCCGGGCAAGGCTAATGTAGTAGCCGACGCCCTGAGTCGTCGGGCGGAGAGTGCCCGTTGCAAGGTGTATGTTTACGGTTGACTGTGATGACTCCGGTGTTGGACACCATTCGAGGAGCACAGGCTGAGGCAATGAGGTCGGAAAACCAGAAGAGAGAGCGAGTTGTTGGTTTGATATCGAATTTGTTACCGATGGTCGGGGGCTTATGACTTTCAGGGGCGTATTTGGGTACCATTCGTGGGAGGTGCACGTGCCATTTTGATGGAGGAGGCTCATCGGTCGAAGTTCTCGATCCATCCCGGGGCCACTAAGATGTATCTGGATTTGAGGAAAGAGTATTGGTGGCCCTGTATGAAGAGAGATGTTGTGGTTCGTTGAGAGGTGCTTAACCTGCCGTAAGGTTAAGGCCGAACATCAGAGACCGCATGGTAAGTTGCAGCCGTTGGAGATTCCCGAATGGAAGTGGGAACAGATCAGCATGGATTTCATCACCAAATTGCCAAGGGCTGTTCGAGGAGTTGATGCAATTTGGGTGATTGTAGATAGGTTGACAGAGAGTGCTCACTTTCTTGCCATCAGTGAGAATTCGTCTGCGGAGAAGTTAGCAGAGATATATGTGAGGGAAGTGGTGTCTCGGCATGGGGTGCCGATCTCGATTGTCTCCGACCGTGACGTGCGTTTCACTTCCAGGTTCTGGAAGAAGTTCCATGAGGAGTTGGGTACTAGGTTGCATTTTAGTACCGCATATCACCCCCAGACCGACGGACAGAGTGAGCGGACGATTCAGACCCTCGAGGACATGCTCCGAGCATGTGTATTGGATTTCGGGGGAAGTTGGGATACGTATTTGCCTTTGGCCGAGTTTTCTTACAACAACAGCCATCATTTGAGCATTGGTATGCCGCCCTTTGAGCTGTTGTACGGGAGGAAGTGTCGGACCCCCATTTGTTGGGGAGAAGTCGGGCAGCGTGTTATGGGCAACACGGATATAGTACTTCAAACGACAGAACAAATCCAGCAGGTCAGACAAAGGTTACTGGTTGCACAGAGTCGGCAAAAGAGTTACGTGGACAGACGTCGGTCCGAGCTTGAGTTCCAGGTTGGTGATTTTGTGCTCCTGAAGGTCTCTCCTTGGAAATGAGTGATCCGATTCAGGAAGAGGGGCAAATTGGGGCACAGATATATCGGACCATTTCGGGTAATCGCGAGGGTAGGCAGGGTAGCCTATCGCTTGGATTTGCCGACAGAAATTGGGGCAGATTCACGACACTTTCCATGTGTCGCAATTACGGAAGTGTATGGCCGATGAGTCGGCAGTGGTTTCATTAGACGATATTCAGGTGGATGCGAGCCTGAATTATGCTGAGAGACCAGTGGCCATCAGGGATCGGAAAATCAAGGTTCTGAGGAACAAGGAGGTACCTTTGGTCTTGGTTCAGTGGCAGCATCGGAAGGGGTCCGAGATGACGTGGGAACCGGAGCGTGAGATGCGAGAGCAGCATCTAGAGTTATTTGCAAAGTGAGACTATGAGGGCGAAGTCTAGTTCTAGTGGGGGAGAATTGTAACAGCCCGGAATTTTCAGGTATTTATTTGGGCACGGGTTCGTGTCCGGACTCGACAAGTCCAAGAGTGGACTCGGCGAGTCCACGCTGTGTGGTGAAACCCTAATTTCCGGGGTTTGCGGCCTATTTAAAGGGCCTTATGGCCGTCATTTGTGCTAACCCAACCCTTAGAGAGAAACCCTTGAGAGCTGGAACGTTTTGAGAGAGAAAGGAAGCCTTATTCACCTTGTGTGTGTGATCTAGCAAAGAAGGAGAAGGATCTAAGCAAGAGGAAGCAAAGGAGGTTGCTATTTAGTGGATTTGAAGCTTAGAGCATTAATCTAGAGGTATGAATTCGATCTATTTTCTGATTTGTGGAGTATAGGGAGATCTAGGGTTTCTTATGGACAGTTATGGAATGATTTGATGCCAAATAGTCCCCTTCTTGTGTTGAGACTCTGGATCTGGATCCATAGAGGTCCAGAGAGCCTCACTCTTCCAGCTTTATGTATGGCAATGGAGTTTATGGCCTTGAGTTATTGTAATTGAGACAAAAACATCATTTAGGGTCATATAGAGATTGTATGTGCATCAAGATAGTGACTTTACGTGCTAAAAAAGCTTGGAGGGACTGGATCTATGGGTTAATGGACTGGATCTGATCTCATTAACAAGTTTTAGTCATTGCATGGCACGGACTCGCCGAGTCCGAAGAACAGACTCGGCGAGTAGTATGAATGTTTCCCGATCATACAGCGTGTGGTCTTGCCGAGTTGGGAAGGGTTGACTCAGTGAGTCAGGGGGAAATCAGAGTGGACAGGTGGACTGAGTCAAGTTGGACTCGCCGAGTTGTTCTTGAGACTTGGCGAGTTGAGTCGTGGTGGCCCCACAACTCATGCCAGGAGGAACTCGTCGTGTTAGGAGAATACTCGGCGTGTCAAGGGAGGATTTCAGGGAAATTAGTGTATACGTTCAGACTCGCCGAGTCGCTATATGCACTTGCCGAGTCCGGTCAAAGTTGACCGTTGACCGTTGACCAGGGTTGACTTTTGTTGACTTGTTAAGGAGTAGCCAACCTTAGTTGGGAAAGTCTTTATTAGAGATGTATTGTGATTTAGGAGGACTATAGCTCGAGAGGTCGAGCGCTAGTGATTTCAGGACTTACGACTTATCGAGATACGCGAGGTGAGTCTTCTCACTATACTTTACCTTAAGTAGGTAACCAGAGTTATGTGACAGAGTATCTATATGCTATGTATGTTATGTGTTGTACTGCATTATTTCTATGTGATATATGCTGTGCATGTTTACAGAGTTAGGACCGGAAGGTTCACAGAGTTAGAACCTGAGGGTTCACAGAGTATGGGTGCACGGACCCACAGAGTTATACCCTCGAGTGGCTAATATGTGTTAAATGTGGTATTTTGGGGAACTCACTAAGCTTTGTGCTTACAATGTTTGATGTTATTGTTTCAGGTACTAGTGACGACCGCGGGAAGGCGCCGACTTGATCCGTACACACACACGGAGTTTATACATTTGTGATCTTGGGATTTTGTATTTACTTGAATTGGATAATTAATATGGTTGTTTTATGAATATTAAATGAATTATGTTTTACGAAAATTTGAAAATTTTGTTTGAAATTTACGGTGTTACATTTTTTATCTTAATAAAAAATAAATATAAAATTATTAATATTAATTAAGTTAGTAAAAAATGTAATTATTAAATAATAATGATTTATAGATTATGTAATAATGAATTAATAATAAAAGTTAGTCAAATAATAATTATATTGTAATGATGATTTAAAAAGTAAAGTCAATAATAATTATATGATGATAATTACTATATTCACCTAAAAAGCAAACCTAATATATATGTTGTGTTTTGTAAAGTGGTGTGTTTAAAGTAGAACCTTTTTTTTTATTGATGTTATAGTTCGAGTCAATAAATATAACATTAACAAAAATAAAAGAGTTATTTAGAAGTAAATTAGGTTTTTATTTTTATTTTTTTATTATTTTTTTTAAGGAAGAAAAAAACTAATACAAATCAAGTTTAACAATACTTTAGAAACATGGTCCATTAAATCAATTAGTTTCTCATCATCAGCTTAGCTTGATTGAGGAAAGATTAATGACGAACTATAATGTCCAAAACATACAATAAATATAATATTAACCAATAGTGATTATTGTAAAAAAAATGACTAAATTTCTTGATTGTAAGGGTGAATTGAGTTGAATAATGAATATTCTGTTGTCGACCAAGCTTTATAAACAAATATGGATGATAAAATTTTAATTTTGATCTATTAAACCAATTAGAATTACTAAACATTACCCTCGATTGATTCGGATAACGTAATCTCCAAAACATACAATAAACATTATCTTGCTAATTTAAACGAACATAAATTTTGGCATACAAAAAATTATAGCTTGTGGAAAAGTCACCTGAATTGTTGGATGTGTCAGGTGTGAGTTGATTCCTTAATATTTTGTTATTGATCCAGATTTACAAAACCAAAAACAATATTAATCACAGAATCTTTTCTTGTTCCCCAAACAATATTTATATACATGGAAAAAATAAAATAAAAGAGACAACAAGGAAGGAGCAGAGGACCCTACAAAATAGTATCGGAGGCTTCACTGTTTCTCAAAGCTCAGCTTCAACCGCGTCATTGCACACATCCCAACTTGGACTATAGTTTCCCCATCTTGCATCGATGTCTTTATTATAAATAACAAATCCCTTCGATAACCCTTTCATTCCATTTCACCATACTCTCTCTCTCTCTCTCTCTCTCTCTCTCTCTCTCTCTCTCTCTCTCTCTCTCTCTCTCTCTCTCTCTCTCTCTCTCTCTCTCTCTCTAAAATGGGTGCTTGTCTATCTTCCGCTGGTGACTCCGTGCACAACTCTAGTTCTGCGTTTGTTATTTCCGTCGATGGCGATCTGTGTTCCTACCCAACTCCAATCTTTGTATCCGAAGTTCTTCGGTTCGAAAAATCTTCGACCTTCTTTCTTTGCAACTCCGACGACTTGTATTACGACCAGTATATCAATGCTTTGGATTTAGAATACCAGCTTGATGCGGCTCAGATCTACTTTATTCTACCAAAAACAATGCTTGGTCGTCGTCTAAGTGCCTCCGATATGGCTGCGCTGGCAGTCAAAGCCAGCCTTGCGCTTGATTCGAATTCCAATGCAGATTCGCATAAGAGGAACAACAACAAGGCTCGTATATCGCCATTGGTGTTGATGGAAACGACTGGGGCTAATGAGAACAAGAATGTTGGAAGTTTAAGAATGTCGAGCTCCAGATCAATCAGGAAGCTGTCAAAACGTTCTTCAAAGAAAGCTCGATTGGGTGTTGGATCTTTCAGGCTTGTGCTCTCCACCATATACGAAAACGATGGGTGTGATGAGTTGCAGATGATTTGATTCGTTAATTTTGGCGTGTACAGATCGATAGTAGCGAATTTTTTGGTTCACCGGGAGTCCGGGAGTTGCTTCATAGTCTAAAATTCACAACTCTGAAATACAATGTATATTGTTGTTTAAAAACGAAAGACAATGGTGTTTTTGAAAGAGTAAGGCATGACAAGATTTTAAAGACTTTACAAGAAATTAATGATACTGGTCCCATGTCGGGAAATTTGTATAAGATTGAATTTTGTATAATGATACAGGTTCCATGTTGGGTTAGATACTTATTACCAACAACTAGGGTCGTAAACGAACATGAACGTAGGCTTGTTCATGTTGGTTCGTTTAAGTTAGTTGAATCAATGAACAATCACGAACGGATAAGCGAACACGTTTTCTTGCTAATGTATAAACCAACGCGTTTTCTTGTTTATGTTCTTTCGTTTAACAAATTAAACTCTTAAAGGTCGTTTATTTATGTTCGTGAACATGTTAATAAAACGGAAACAAACGAACATAAATGAACAATATAAACAAACATAATAGAACATATATGAACATATAATACAGTAATGTAATCAAACTTAATTAAACATATATGAACATAAAATAAGTTTATATGAACGAGAATACACAAACATAAACGAACAACATAAACGAATTCACGAAAACGAATGATACTATTGTGGAAATATAACGAAACACAATTTATTTTTCACAATTTATGCAACTTTTTATGAAAAATAATCAACCTTCTGTTGAAATATAACCAAATCATTCAACCATTTAACATTAAATACTTAAATTTGGAACGTGCTGTTAATTTTTTTATTTTAAGACGTCAAACTCTACTTCTTTGCGGAAACAAAGTTTTAGATACAAAATTGATATACAATTGGAAGAATGTGTGTTTAAGCTAACAAAAAGGTATCCAAAGTGTCAAGAACATATGCAAAAAAAACAAACACACAATGACATAGTATTTAACGTGGTTCGATAATTTGAGGTACGTCCACACGGAAGGAAGGGGTAATCTTATTCTTAGGCTCCAACTAAGATAAATAGTACAAATACAATTGAGACAAACTAGAGACCTCTAAAAGGACCACATTGAAAATCACTCTTAATTCTTACTAACAACCCCTATTTTATAAACTGAGGATCCAACATAAAACCATGATGGGTTATAATAATCTATTCTTAGGCCTAAATGAAAGTCAACCAATCATAAGAGTCCATGCTTTTTCATGCTTAGAGAGCATCTTGCATAGCCTAGAGTGCATTACGTAGAGCTAGAGCATCCATACAGAGTATTCTCCCAAGAAGCGCATTCTAGAGGTGTATGTAGATCTGTAGAGTGCATTCACATCACTTGTAAGACATTCAACAACAAGAAGCGTATCCAACATGCCAGGAGCACATTTAGGAGTACCCTCATAATCTCCATAAGAAGGAGGGAATCCTCCATGCGCTCAACACATCCTCACATGTTAGAGAACATTTGGCAACGCCTAGATGCACATCTGGCTAAGGCTCCAGTGCTTTATCGAAAAGCTTCATCCCTCGTGTAAATACTCAATCTATAAATATTATTAAAAAAGAAACTTTAATTTTAATTTTAAGAAATCTGGACCATTCATTATATTTCAATCTTTTTTGCTTTACCCTTGGATTATTTGCTAACATCATTCACTAAAATTCACCAAAGGTTTATTCAAACACCGTTACATACTTCGCAATTATTTCGTTCGTCATCTCTCTCTCTCTCTCTCTCTCTCTCTCACACACACACACACACACACTATCGTAACCTAGGGAAACAGAAAAACCATTCCATTTTACTTCAATTGATGCCAGAAAATGTATCCCTACTTCGCCTCTTCAAACGCCTCCACGAATATGGTTAGTTTTTACCATCTTTCTCTATAAACTGTTGTACATAATACATATTAGTATTACATAAAACTTTTGTAATAAAAAATCGAGTTAGAAAGTTAGGGTAAATGTAGGCTTACCTAGATTAATTCGTCTTGATGTTTCTCCCAAATTCAGAATTTCTTCACGAGTATTGCATCTTCCCTGGGTTTAACCAATATCAGTGGCTCACATCCTCCCCCGTCGGTTTACCATTGTCTCGCCTCCGTGTTAGTGGCAGAGCAAGAGCTGGCGGTTTAAAGATCGTTGCTTCAGAAACAAAGCAACAAGAACCTGATCTGAGTTTTAATGTTAATGGCTTACATATGCCCAATCCATACGTAATTGGCTCGGGTCCTCCAGGGACCAACTATAATGTCATGAAAAAAGCTTTCGTTGAAGGCTGGGGTGCAGTCATAGCTAAAATAGTAAGTCTTCTAATCCATAATGTTTGATCATTCTTAATTTCTTCAATAACTTTACTCCATTACAACAGTAAGAAGTTTTATAGATTGATTTTAACTGATCACCTCCATTTTAGGATGGTTGTCTGCATCTGTGTGAACTGACTATAATGTTGAATTCCGATATGAACAATGGAATAAACTTCAAATGATCTGATCTCGATTGTTTTAGTTGCTATAATTACTTTTAACTCTTTTTCCTCCTAATTATCCGATCCTAATCTTATCTCGATTAGAAAGGAAGAGAAACAAAGAAAATTCGTGATCAGGGAGGGAAGGGAAAAGGAGGAATAGTTCGTTATTTTTACACTTATTGTTACATATATGATAGCTATCATTCTTCCATAACTAATATATATTTTAAAATAGGCTGTGTGAAGGGGGAGAACTCCTTGACCGGATTTTATCCAAGTGATAACCAAACACCATTTATGTTTTTGTATACCAAGAAGAGTATCATGTAAACTTGAACCATGTTTTCTACATATATAATATCTAGATGGAAGCTTGAGCACAGTTGAGACTTTGGCTTCTACTGTTATATGTGGCATCATACACTCGATTCTTGGTGGTTAACCTCTTCTTATACTTGGAGTTGCAGAACCTACAATCATTTTGTATATATACTTGTATAATTTTACGAAAGGGACATAAGATTTGGGTCAACAACTATTCTTAGCTTGGCAGGATGGTAATATTTTTACAAATCCCTTCACCATGTAGAAAAAAGGTTCCAATGATGATAATTTGAGAAAATATTTCAGGTTTGTTTTGGACTAATTCTTGTTTTTTTGACTAGGGATTGGTGAGTCTGTTCAAAGCTCCCAAATCTGATGAACCAAATTCACCCAAAGATCAATTTTAGTGGCTTTACACTAATAGCTTGCTTGGTATTATATTTTCGATGATGTTGTCCAATTCGAGAGTGTCGAGTTATCAATACTTCTATGCAATGATGACTTTGCAATATCAGCAAGTCAAAAAACAAGATGATAGAGACACAGACACGACTTAATTTGATAATGACAAAGAGGAATACAACGCATAAGTATTTGAAGAACGATGTTGCTGAAATTTTTAAGAACGGGCTTGATTCCAATGCCTAAAAAAAGGGTAATTATTTCTTTAACTTTCTTATTCTTTTCACGGTCTTCTTGTGTTATATTTTTTTTGGAGGGTGGGGTGGGGATGGGGGTGGGGGTGGGGTGGGGGGGGTTAAAAAGAACGATGAGTTAGACTAAATTCAAGTTTTATACAAATCAGCACCATTGGACGCTCTCTTCATGTGTTATATATGGTTTGGCTTTCGGTTGAACTTGAATAGATTGATTGAATTCAAACCGGAAGAATGTTTGGCTGTTTGATTTGGAAATTTTATATTTGCGTAACTTGTGTTTTATAGTAGGCTTAATTGGATAAGAACAGTTTGGTATCTGTAACACCGTAACAATTTGAACAATTTTTTTCACTTTTGAAAACCATAAAATATCATTTGTAATCATAAATAAAAACGTTGTGTCAACATTGTATCAGTACAAAACCCAAGATCAAAATGCATAAACTCCGGTGTGCGTGAGTACGAATCATGCCGGCGCTTTCCCGCGATCATCATTGGTACCTGAAACACATAACACATAACACTGTAAGCATAAATGCTTAGTGAGTTCCCCAAAATACCACTCTAACACATAATAGCCACTCGAGGCGGTAAATCTGTTGACCATCAGGTCTATGTGTCTCAGTGGGGCCCTCCAGCCCCAACTCTCTATGGGCCCTCTGGCCCTAACTCTGTGGATGCAAAGGTCCTAACTCTGTAACTCTGAATCATGCATAGCACATATCACAATAAATCATAGCACATAAATAACATGCAATTACGCTGGCATATAACTCTAAAATACTCTATCACGTAACTCTGTTACCACACTAGGTAAAGTATAGTGAGAAGACTCACATCGGGTATCTCGATAATCTCTGACTCGGTAACGTTGGTCTAACCTCCACCTAATCATATAAAATAAGAACCCTAATTGTTATAACTCTAAAAGGCTAGACTATGTCCTCTTATGACACTCTCAGAAGGGTAAAAGACCATTTTACCCCTCTCACAACTCAAAAGGCCCCACAATAGACCATACCCTAAAAGTCAACCCAAAAGTAAACTTTCCGGGTTACGCTGTGCGTACCCGGCTTCATCTCAGGATCGGGGAACGCCACCCAGTACGCGGCGCGTATTGGGATTACGCCCGGCGTACTCCCCAGCTTCAGCCCCTTAGCTCTTGAGGTCTTAAACAGTTAAGATTCATGTCCAATTTCTAGATCTGACCACATCTAACCCTCTTAATCCATAAAGTTGATGACTTTATGCCTTTGCGTGGCTGAACAAGTCACCAACTCCCATAATACTCCATCCTCTAACCCTAGAAGGCTTATTACTCAAGCATGACCTCAAACTAACACTAAAGATGGAAACTTTATGGCTCTAAATCACTAATAGCACTGAATGGGGACAGATCTCGGACCATGGAGCACTTTACACTCATAAAGTCTCCACCTTTGGGGTTTTTAGCCCTAGCAATAGCACATGCAACAACAAATCAAAAGAAGAGGAAAGTTTTGAACTTTATACCTCTAATT